CAGTTGGCATTCATACTAACTAGACTGGATCGGCAGAACTTATATTAAGGAGGTAGAAAAAGAAAAAATGATCTCCTTAACCTCAACCCAACTAAGTTCCCCCATGGACAGTTCCATCTCAGGGTCATCCTCAACTTCCAAGGTATCGTTATAGAAAAATGGTGAAAATAAAGCCAGTAGATCAATAGAAGCTTTGCACATACTCAATTATTTAAACGTCGGCTTTCTTGGGCTGATATACAGAACCCAAACTTAAGAGCTAAACAATTCCTAAGGTAGCTTATAACAGTACAATTGTCCTGAGAAACGGACAGGTAGGATTTATACTCCTTGCAGACAGCTGGAGATTGGAGTATATACAAGGACTATAAATACAAGGAGTATAAATCTTTCCATTCCCCCACCATTAAGCCAGAGCTGAAGAAGCTCCTTGGATGAGAAGCAAAATGTCTTCAAAGAAAAACCAGAAAGTCCAGTTGCCTCTTGAAAAAAGCACCTTTGGGACAACCATGACCTGGATGACTGAGAATCGCCATAGACATTATTTGACAGGTAACATTGGAAAATTGTTAGGAATTCCGTTTGCATAGGAGAAAAAAAAATCAGATTTTCTTTCATTAATTTTACTCCGCTTCACCTTAGATTTCTACAACCATGTGACCTTGAGGTGCACTGAGATTGCAATTCAAAAACAGGATTCGCAGCAGTGGCTTAGATGGATGGACAGGCTTTATATCAGTGCTGGATGATGGTCCTGATTCAAAGGGGAAAGGTGGTTTAAACCATATGTGGCCAAACATTGCAGTCATTGGCAATTCAAGAATCAATGTATTTTCCTGTGTGAAGCCAGGAAAGGATTCATCAAATTTAAGGAGGACAATTATTTCCTTTAATAATTGTATGAAAGGTCCCTAGCAGGTCTGACCATCCAATCCTGAGATATGACATTCTGACAGAGACGCAGGGCAGAATTATACATTTGGTACATATTACCAGACTGGGTTGTGTCTCTCCTATTACCTCCTATCTGTGCATTAATTTTTTATTTTATTTTTTACAAAAATCTGATTTCAATAAGCTGACAGCATAAAGCAAGAGTTAAATTTGGACTTGCATCTCTATGGAAAGCCAACAAAATTACAGTTAGGTAAGGAATGGTTGGAAAGTATTAATAGCTACTGAAATGCAGAGTTCTTACTCTGTTGATCGGGCTTTCCTGTAGGCTGATAGTTTAGACTGAGTCCCTTCTGAAAATCTATTTGTAGTCAGAGTGATACTTCCCTCTGAAGCACTGCTCATGTTCATAAATTCTCGTTATTTATCTGTGGAAGTAGAACCAATAAAAAGCAGACAGTTGCTTGGTTTACTGCTTTTCTTAAGCCTCTGGTGCATCACTTTTGTGTATCCTCTAATTATTACAAAACAAAAAAGAAATCATGACATACATCAATGTGATTTTAACTGCTGTCACTGCAGTTTAGCCAATGGGAAATATGTATATATAAATGAAATGGGCAAGGAAAGTTATCCAGATGAGTGCTTGCTGATTTTCCAATAGATTATCCGTAAAAATTTCGAAATTTAAAATTATTCTGGCAATTGCCAGATTCTCTCAGCTTGTTTAAGACAAAATACTGCAAAGATATATGATAAGCACATCGTAGTAAAACTATGAAGCCATTACAAAAGAATTCCAACAACTGCTGTATATCCAATGCGGGCTCTGTTACACTATCATCAATGTTCAATTTTTGTGCATTGCAAATTCCCTCTGTTTTTTGTTTTGATCTAGTACTAGTTGACTGATCTAGTAATAGGTGGCTTAGTTTTGATCATGAGATGGTTCACAGAAAGTCTCTGCACTGCAGAAGCAGAGAATTCTTGACAAACGGACAAATAAATGTTTCTTCACAACTGTCAGAGAAGACCACAAAAACAAGGGTCTCTTGACACAGTAGGAAGGAAGGGGCAAAGGGAGGGAGGAATGAAGGAAGGAAAGAGAGGGAAGAAAGGAAGGAAGGAAAGAAAGCGAGAGAGGGAGCAAGGGAGGAAGGAAAGAGAGGGATGGAGGGAGCAAAGAAGGAAAGAAAGAGGGAAGGGAGGAAGGAAGGAATAGCCATCTGTCTTCAGGCTCTACCAATATCCTTGTAACAATGATCCTATGGTGGTTTGGCAAAATTGTGGGGAATGGAAATTGCCAAGGAGCAATGCAGAAATTGGTGGGCCTTGATGCTAATGAAAAAATAGCTCATCTCAAAGGAGGGCAGGTGTCCAAAACGGTATCCTGCAAAATAAATTACCTTGACTTGTAGTTGACCTAGAAATAAAAAGGCTGAGCTCAATTTTAATGAAAGCAGGGAGCAGATCCATACCGTGGACAGAAGTGCCCTCAGACTACATTAATTGAATTATTATCTAGAGAGGGGAAACATTTATTGAGACCTCTCAGCCTGCGAACTCTTCAGTTTTCCCCATTAAGCCCTGGCTTAGATGGACAACCTCAGCTGATTTCATAAAGAACTATGGTAGAGTCAGATGTGCTTGGGAAATTACAGCGACATTTGCAAAGCTGCAATCCAGACTGGGAAATGAAAATTGATTCCAGAGGGCAAATCTTTCATTTTGCCAAGAAAACTCCATAGATATCTACGAAGTCATTTGGAGTCAACCTCAACTGAAAAGATGCTTCATTATTATTATTTTTTAACTCCAGAAGTTAGTGGGCCATTGTGAGGCGGGATCAAAAACTATGCAAAAGGAGGAAGGACAATGATACACATTTCCATACAGGGCTAAGATACGGAGATGGTTTATGTTTAACTAGGCAAGAAAGAGACGGGGCATTTTGTCACATGGTTAAGGCTGAACTTCAGTGGAAGTCAACGGGCCAAATTCCAAACCCTGCAAGAGTTAAAAGGCACGAGAAAATGATTGATTGATTGACTGACAGATTAATATCCCCCCTTTTTGCATGCAGGGGCTCAAATCACTGCTCCTTCCTCCTGCTATTTTTTTTTCCCTAGCGATTTTAACCACTGGCAAGGAAAGGAATCTTGGTATTTTGACTCAGAATCTACGAATGTAGCCAACCGCAGCCTTGGCCGCTTCCCAGGAAAGGGCATCAAATCGCATCCCAGCCAAATCTCTGCAACGGGGAAGGGGGGGGGGGGGGGGGGGGGGAAGGAGAGGGAAGGTGGCGCATGCTCATTTCGAAAAGAGTTTGTGGTCGCCATAGCAACCGCGGTCCGGGCAGCGTGTGTTTCTCTCTCGAGCAAATCCGATCTTTGCAAGGATCGCTTCGCGGCCACGGAGGGAAGAAAGCAGCGTCCGCCAAGGCAAGCGGTAGGATGCTAGAATTGCACGGCAAGGGTCTCTCCCTCTCTTTGTCTTGTGCTCGTCTCGTTGCCCTAGACTCGGAAATACGCAAATGAACATCTGTAACCGTGAGAATGGCCACATATGTGGATCTTTCAAAATTAGAAGAAAAAAAAATATTCAGTGAGCATCAGTAGTCATGGTGCCCCAAAGGCTCACATGGGCCTGGGCCACTACTGTACTACGGTTCGTTTAGCGACCATTTGAAGTTGCAGTGGCACTGAAAAAAGTGACTTAGAAGTTAAAGCCATTTTTCGTACTTCCAACCTTTGCAGCATCCCCCATGGTTATGAGATCAAAATTCAGGCAGGCATATCACAACTGGTGCACACAGTGGTGGGATTCAAACATTTTAACTACCAGTTGTGTGGGCGAGGTGTGGCTTGGTGGACGTGGCAGGGAAAGGTTACTGCAAAATCCCCATTTCCTCCCCACCCCACTAACCTGCTTTCCAGCACCGTTCTCCTATGCAGGGCAACAAAAGAAGACCCAGCCGATCAACTGGGACTCAGGAGGCAGAGAATAGATGGGGCGGGGCCAGTCAGAGGTGGGATTGGCCGGTTCTCCAAACTACTCAAAATTTCCGCTCTCGGACTGGTCAGAACCTGCTGAATACCACCATTGGGTGCACACCAGAACAACTAGACACAAGGACAGGTTTATCCCGCATACCATCACTCTGCTAAACAACTAATTCCCACAACACTATCAAACTATTTACTAAGACTGTATTACTATTATTCTTCTCATCCTTCCTATTACCTATTTCCTTTTCTACTTAGGACTATAACTTTGTTGCTTGTATCTTTACTATTTATATTGTCTTAGTTTCCTACTATGATTTATGTTGATTGCCTCTTTAGTATCCTAGGACTATCACTAAGTATCTTATGATTCATGATGAATGTATTTATGATGACTATGATTATGATTTTTCACTTATATCTTTTATGTACATTGAGAGCTTATGCACTGAAGACAAATTCCTTGTGTGTCCAATCACACTTGGCCAATAAAGAATTCTATTCTGTTCTATTTATCATATATTTATTAGGACAATTGCAGTGTTCCAGGGTCATATGATCACCTTTTGCAACCCTCTGACAAGCAAAGTCAGTTGGGAGGTCAGATTCACTTAACAACATGTTACCAATTTTAGCAACGACAGTGATTTACTTAACAACTGTGGCAAAAGGTTGTAAAATGGGGCACATCTCACTAAACAACTGTCTCACTTAATAACAGAAAGCTTGAGCTCAATTGTCACAAGTTGAGGACCACTGGTATTCCCATTTCCTTCTTCCCAGGTGATAATTTGAGAAATATTTCAAATTTGGTAACATTAAGACCGGTGGGACTTCAATTCCCAGAATTCGCCAGCCAGCAATTGAAGTCCACGGGTCTTCATGTTATCAAGTTTGAGAAACACCGATTTAGCTTCCTGGATTGTGAGCTCTGGACTGGTCTCCAGAGGCCAAATATATCTGCACCACAGCTACTGCCAGTTCTTTCCAAGTTGTGGGAATATCCAATAAACATACCCAGAATCAGCCGAGGGTTTCTTGCTCATAGATGCTATTGAGCCAGTGACTGTTTTCTCACCTTCCTTCCCATTTTAGATAAGCATGCTAGCATGCCTGAGCCTGGATCAACAATACTCCGAAACCTGCAAAGAAGTAAAACTACATGTGAACCCATTCATAAAGCACGTTCTCCAAGAAGTGAAACTCTCTGATGAAGAGTAAGGCAACATAGTAAAACTAAGCCAATAACTTATTACTATTCTTGGCATATGAAATGCTTTTGAAAACTACGATTTTTGCAGCAGGAAAATCTGGATTCTGCAAGCTTTAGGATACATATAAAATACAGGTAGTCCTTGCTTAATGTGCTTGGCAACTATTTGTAGGGACTCTCCCCCCCAAAGGTACTTATGACCCGGTTCCAAGAGCGACACTCCCTACAGTCACATGACTGCATTTCAGGCATTTGCCTTTACAACGGGCTGCAGAGTCCCACAATCACCTGATGTAATTTATGACATTTGTTTGCAAAAAAATTCTCTAAGAATGCATTAACTCACTTAACAACAACCATGTCCACTTACAGATAACAGATAATCAGAGTTGGAAGGGACCTTGTAGGTCATCTAGTCTAACCCCCTGCCCAAGCGGGAGACCCGACACCATTTCTGACAAATGACAGTCCAATCTCTTCTTGAAAGTCTCAAGTGATGATGCTCCCGCAACTTCCGAGCTGTTCCATTGGTTGATTGTTCTCCCTGTCAGAAAGTTTCTCCTTATTTCCGGGTTAAATCTCTCCCTGTTCAGTTTCCATCCATTATTCCTTGTCTGGCCTACAGGAGCTTTAGAAAATAGCTTGACTCCTTCCTCTATGTGGCAGCCCCTCAAATATTGGAAGACCTCTATCATGTCTCCCCTGGTCCTTCTCTTTACTAGACTAGCGAAGCCCAGTTCCTGCAACCGTTCGTTGTATGTTTTAGCCTCCAGTCCCCTAATCATCCTGGTTGTTCTTCTCTCTACTTTTTTTTGAGTCTCAACATCTTTTTTGTAATGTGGTGAACAGAACTAGATACAGTACTCTAGGTGTGGTCTTACCAAGGCTTTATAGAGTAGTATTAGTACCTCCCTTGATCCTGATTGTATCCCTCTGTCAATACAATTTAAGATTGCATTAGCTTTTTTGGCTGCTGGATCATTTAGCTGGTTGTCCACTAAGACTCCAAGATCCCTCTCATAGTTCCTGCTATTGAGCCTGGTTTCACCCAGTCTATATGTGTACTTTTGGTTTTTCTTGCCTAAGTGTAGGACTTTACTTTTCTCTATATTGAATTTTATTTTATTAGATATAGTCCAGTGTTCTAGTCTGTCAAGATCCCTCTGGATCTTGAGCCTATCTTCTTGGGTGTTAGCTATTCCTGCCAGCTTAGTTTCATCTGCAAATTTGGTAAGTTCCCCTTCTATTCCCTCATCTAAGTCATTAATGAAGATATTGAAGAGTACTGGGCCTAAGACGAAACCTTGTGGCACCCCACTGCTTACTTCCCTCCATGTAGACTTAGACCCATTAAGGACTACTCGTTGAGTACGGTTTGCCAGCCAGTTGCCAATCCATCTAGTGGTGGTGCTATCTATTCCACTTTTTTCTAGCTTACTAAGAAGTAGTTTGTGGTCTACTTTGTCGAATGCCTTGCTGAAATCTAAATATATTATGTCCACAGTATTTTGCTGGTCTACTAATTTAGTCACTGTGTTGAAGAATGAAATAAGATTGATTTGGCATGATCTGTTCTTAACAAACCCGTGCTGACTGCTAGTTATTACTTTACTTGTTTCTAGATGTTGGCAGATCTGTTTTTTATTATCTTTTCCAGTATCTTCCTGGGTATTGATGTTAGGCTGATTGGTCTTTAGTTTCCTGGGTCTGTTTTTTTCCCCGTTTTTGAAGATGGGAACCACATCAGCTCTTTTCCAGTCCTCTGGTAGTTCCCTGGTGCTCCAGGATTTTTGAAAGATATGGTGCAGTGGTTCTGAGATGACCTCTGTCAGCTCCTTTAAAACTCTGGGATGTAATCCATCAGGCCCCGGTGATTTGTTTTCATCAAGATCAGACAGGTTTTCTCTTACTATTTTTTTTTGCTTATTTTAACTTTTATTTCTGGTCTGTCTTTTACAGTTATGTTTTTGGTGGGTTGAGCTATAGTTTCTTTTTGCGTGAAGACCGATGCAAAGAATGAGTTAAGCAGTTCTGCTTTCTTTCTGTTGCCTGCTACTTCCTTGCCATCTTCTCTCTTTAGTGGACTGACTGTTTTTTTGATATTTTTCTTGTTATTTGTATGTTGGAAGAAACTTTTTTTATTATCTTTGACTTTTGTTGCAAGTCTTTTGTTTGTTCTGAGCCTTTGCTATCCTGACTTCGTCTTTGCAGATTCTGGCTATCTGCTGATAATCTGCCTTAGTTGTATGTCCTTCTTTCCATTTTTTGTACTTGTCCTTTTTTTCTTTCAATTTGCCAGAGAGATCTTTGTGCAGCCATGCTGGTTTCATCTTGGATTTCTTGTTTTTCTTTCTCAGTGGTATTGTGCTGGTCTGGGCTTCTGTGATCATACTTTTCAGAGTTTCCCAAGATTCTTGAGTGGTTTTCCCCTTTAGGATTTTCATCCATGAAATCTTTCCCAAGTTCTTTCAGAGTTTATTGAAATCAGCTCTTTTAAAATCCAAGACTCTGGTGTCATTATGTTCTGTTGCTTGTGTTTGTGTTATGTTGAATTCTAGTATGACATGGTCACTCTCACCCAAGGTTCCTGCAGTTTCAACTCCCTCTATTGCTTCTTCTCTGTTTGTAAGAATTAAGTCCAGTATGTCCAGTAATTCTAAATTACTTTAATTCTGAATTAAGTCCAGAATTAAGTCTAGTACTTAATGACAGCAGCATTCATTTTACAACTGTCGCAAAAAAAGTTTTAAAATTGGGTCGATCATATGGGTGCTTCAACTTATGATTGTCATGACTTAGAACCATAACTTTGGCTCAATTATGGTTGTAAGCTGAGAGTGTCTATGGCAGGGGTGTCAAACTCACCTCGTCACGTTGTCATGGGATGTATCGTGATGCTTCCCCCTTTGCTAAGCTGGGGGTTGGCGTGGCCAGCACGTGATGCATCTGGACTGCAGGCTGCGAGTTTGATCTATGGTCTATGGGTTTGATCTATGGTCTATGCGAGTTTGATCTTTGATCCCTGGTCTATGGAGATTCTCAGTCATGATTGTCCCAAAGGTGCTTTTTCAAGAGGCAACTGGACTTTCTGGTTTTTCTTGCAAGACGTTTTGCTTCTCATCCAAAAAGCTTCTTCAGCTCATCCAAGAAATCTCTTCAGATCTGAAGAAGCTTCTTGGATGAAATGCGAAATGTCTTCCAAGAAAAACCAGAAAGTCCAGTTGCCTCTTGAAAAAGCACCTTGGGGACAACCATGACCGAGAACTATGAGAAAGACATTTCTCATTTCATCCAAGAAGCTTCTTCAGCTCTGAAGAAACTTCTTGGATGAGCTGAAGAAACTTCTTGGATGAGAAGCAAAGCGTCTTGCAAGAAAAACCAGAAAGTCCAGTTGCCTCTTGAAAAAAAGCACCCTTGTAAGTTGAGAACTACTTATATGCAGATGTGTCTCTATGCATTCATATTGTGCAATGAGGTAGAACAGAGGAATTCATTCTCAAAGTCATAAGAAAATTGTGAGATTCTCAAAATCGAAGCAGACATGTAGATTTATTTGTCCAATAACAGAATGTTGTACTAGTTCAATGCAGAATTGCCTGTATGCTTCAAAGCACGCAATTGGCTTGGAGTTATAGCATTGGGCCTTTGAGGCTGTATGCATTGCTCAACCATAGAGTGCATTCTTCGTGTGAAAAAAGAGCCAGAGGCACTTTCAATTTGAAATCTCTGCTGTCCAGCTGGGGATAATGCAGAACAGGTTATCCTTCACAGGTAGAAGAAAGGGATTTTCCTGCAGAGCAGTGGTCGCCAACCAGTGGGCCGGGGGCTATTGGTGGTCCATGAGAAAATTTTGGTGGTCCACAGAGAAATGTCATCCCCCAAAGCACCCCCCAAAGCAATTAATCAAGGCTACACCCTTCCCATGGCCCACAGGAATACAAGGCTTGCATCGCTTGCATTGTGAACAACATGAGATAGTGAGGGGAGGGGGGAAAGGATGGGGGGGGGGAATTTGCCCCACTCGCCTCATGCACCTCGCCTGGCCACCGGCCTGCTTCTTTCCGCTTCTTTCTTCTTCTGCTTTTGGCTGCACCCAAGAAAAGCAGCAAAAGTCTTTCTTTCTCTCCCCCAAACTCTACCAGAAATGAATCTTTGGGACCCTGCAAGGCATCCTGCTCCAAGAGGCTAGACCAGCAAAGACTCATTTCTGGCGGAGTTTGGGGGAGAGAAAGAAAGACTTCTGCTGATTTCCTTGCATGAAGCCAAAAGTCTCTCTCTCTCTCACTCCCCCTGAGAACGGAGCTGGAGACGGTATCCTGCGATCCCAAATAAAGAATGATCGGTAGGAAAATGGGGTGGGGAATTTTCCTGCAGACTTTTTTCCTGCAGCCACCGTCAGTCAAAATTCAGGTCAGTGGTCCATGGGATTTAAAATTATGAGTTTGGTGGTCCCTGAGGTCCAAAAGTTTGGCAACCCCTGCTGCAGAGAATACCTGGTTCAATCTCTGCTTTTGTCAAAGATGGGTGAGAGGGGGAATCTGCCTAAAACCCAAAGTGCATCTTGCCAAGTGACTGACAATCCTGGACTAGATGAACTAATCCTGTGACTCAATAGGACAGTTTTTCTGCCTTCTAGCCAAAGCAATGGAATTACGAAGATACTAGGCGTGAAATCCTGGGGCAAGCAGCTCCCTAAATGCTAAATCGAATCCATTAAGGACAAAGAGGATTGCATCATGATATCATTTACTTTGGAGCAAATTGAGTGAGACTTACAATTTTTTTAAAAAATGCATCTGCATATGCCTGGATGCATTTCAGATTGTGAATAACTTTTTCCTCTCAATGAAAGAGGACTCTCTGCAGATCCACGAATAACGTTCAAACTTCGCTTTTAATTGGAGTGAAATAAAATGGAACAGCAGCAACAAAAAGAGGTTCTGTTTATGTTGTCACAGGTTGGCCAACAAAGTAACTGTTAAAATAGCTGGGAATAACCGCTTGATACCTGTGCAGAAAGTGACCGATTCTGATTTTCAAATCCTTGCATCTGTCTTTATGAACAATGTGTTTCTTACAGGTATGTTTCCTTTATTTTAGCCTCTGAAACACAAAACCTAATGCGTTAAAGGGGCTCCTCTAGAATTGGATGGTATAATTGAAGGAAGACTTGAAGTTTAGATTTTCCCCTTTACCCGAAAGGTGCTTTTATTTTAAAGGCAACTGGGCATTGTTTTTTTTTTAAAGACGTGTCGCAGAACCGAAAAACATTCTTGGATGAGAAGTGAAATGTCTTAAAGAAAAATTGGAATGTCCAGTTGCCTTTAAAATAAAAAGTAACTTTTGGGACAACCCTGACCTGGATGAATGAGAACCTCCATTGAGATTTCAACCTAATGTCACAAAAACACAATCAGAGAAAGCAACCGTTGTTAAATCCCACTTGCGACCCAGTTTCATATTTAAATTAGATCTTGGAATAAATCAAGACTAGGCTTCAGGAATGAATTTTGTAGTTAAAGAAAGCCAATGGAATAGAATGGAATAACAAAGTTAGAAGGGACCTTGGAGGTCTTCTAGTCCAACCCTCTGTTCAGGCAGGAAAGTCTATACCATTCCAGACAATCTCTTCTTTAAAACACCCAGTGTTGGAGCATTCACAATTTCTGAGAGCAATTTGTTCCACTGATTAATTGTCCTACAAAGGAAATTTATCCTGAGTTCTAGGTTGCTTTTCTTCTTGATTAGTTTCCATCCACTGCTTCTTGTCCTGCCCTCGGGTGCTTTGGACGATAGCTTGACTCCCTCTTCTTTGTGGCAGCCCTTGGGAACATCAGAACATTGAATATTGGAACACTGCTATCATGTCACCCCTAGTCCTTCTTTTCATTAAGCCAGACATACCCAGTTCCAGCAACTGTTCTTTATATGTTTTTAGCCTCCAGTCTCAAAAATCATCTCAGTTGTTCTTCTCTGCACTTTTTCTACTCTCAACATTGTTTTTACATCGTGGCAACCAAAACTGGATGCCATTTTGGGATGGAGACTGTGACTGTGTGTGTGTTAAGGTATTGTTACAAAAGTGATTACAACTACGGTCTGTTCATTTTTGCATCCTTTGGGTTTTTTTCAGGGCTGGACCTGAGATACAATCTCCTAACTGATGCTGGTGCAGCCCATATTGCTGCTTTCATTCAGGTATCATCAAGCAAACTAGAAATCCCTGTTCCTTGAAATTCTTCGGCTTGAATAGCATTTGCCCTCCATGCAATTAAAACTCTCAGTCTTTCCTTGCAGGGTGGAGATTCTGGAATCCATAAACCCAACATAGCTCCAGAGGGTTGTAGATAAGATTGGGCCAGCCTAGTTCATGTTGTCCTTGATTTAAGACCATGATTAGGAGTAGGATTTCTGTTGCTAAGCAATATACTGGCTAAGTGAGTCACACCCCAGTTTTTCCACCCTCTTTTGCCATGTTTGTCCAATTGTTAAGTGAATCATGCAGTTGTGAAGTGAATCTGGCTTCCCTCAATGATTTCCCTTGTTGGAAGCCAGCTGGGAAGATTGCAAATGGTGATCACATGACCCTGGGACCTTTCAATTGTCATAAATACATGCTGCCAACTGCCTGAATTTTGATCACATGATAATTGGGAATATGAGGAATAATTGTACCTAGTTAAGTAACTCAAATGCTGTTGAAAAGCCAAATGGTGGCTAAATGATGGCTGTAAGTCAAGGACTACTTGTAATACTATTTTTGTGTTGAAGGAGAATTCCAGGAAATGGTCTTCAGGCCTTAGCAATAGCAATAGCACTTATATACCGCTTTACAGCCTTCTCGAAGCAGTTTACAGAGTCAGCATATTGCCCCTAACAATCTGGGTCCTCATTTTACCCACCTCAGAAGGATGGAAGGCTGAGTCAACCTTGAGCCTGGTGAGATTCGAACTGCCAAATTGCAGTCAGCTGGCAGTCAGCAGAAGTAGCTTGCAGTACTGCACCTTAACCACTGTGCCACCGTGGCTTAGGCAGCTTATGCGAGCCCCCAAGCTGTTCCTGTTACTGAATGCCCCTATGTCATTTAGAGGTGTGGCGTGGAGCTTGATTTAAATGTAGCAATCAAAAGACTGGCCTACAGAGAACTCTTTGCAATGTCTTTGCTTCCCACCACTTAAAATTGTACATCATCTTCTCTGACTATCCCTGGTTTGGGAAGAGTTGTTCTTAACATCAAACATGGTGTCATGAGGTTGCCAGAAATCCTCCACAAATCTGTACATGAGGTGAGAGATTGCCTGAAGCCAGGTAGCTATTGGGCCTTAACTCTCAGCCATGTGTTGTAAGTGTTGGTCTGCTGATCAAACTGGAATATGCATTGTGCATTCATCATAAGGAAATCAATCTTTGGAAGGGCGACCCAGGGAAGACAACATTAACCCCACACCCCATTTCTTTCTCTTGTAGGATAATCGGTCCCTGCTCTACCTCAATCTGATGTTTAATGACATTGGTACCCTTGGAGCAGAATTCATAGCCAAAGCAATGCACGTAAGTGTGGATCAGTCTGGGAGAAAGCCACAGAAAGCCACATGAAATTCCCATTTGGAGCAAGGCACATTGGGATGTAACGTCTTTGATTCAATGGATTCAATCTAGGCAGTTGGGGGGTGGATTCAGTTGGGATGGAAACACTCGCTTACCGAACCGATTGTTACACCGGTTGAATTGCACCCCTGTCTTCAGCATAGTTCTTCTGCCAGCATGGGTTAATCCCATTCCTCAGGTAACCTGGACCTATGTTAAATTCCACTTGCAGCAAGCTTTCCCCCCTCTTAATGGCAATTAGATGCTTTTAGAAAAAAAGCCTATGTTTCCAAATACATAGAACAAATGTTTCTCAACCTTGACAACTTTTAAGATGTGCGAACTTCAACTCCCAGAATGCATCTTGGTTGAGAAATTCTGGAAGTTGGAAGTCCTCCACGCATCTTAAAGTTGTCAAGATGGAGAAACCCTGATATAGAATGTCAGGGATAACACCAGTCTCTCCTCAGCCTGACATCATCCAGGAAAGTGGGGCTGCTAACATATCTAAAATTCTTCTTGGGAATTGTGAACCTCTACCTCATATGCAAAGGACTGGAAAGAGCAATGCTGGCTAGGGATTTTGGAAGGTGCCAGATGGGGAACAATTTAAACTGTTGCAAAGAAATAATTGATGTTTTCCTTCTAGAGGAATAAAACACTGTGTTACTTAAGAATGACAGGCAACAAGATTGAGAATAAAGGAGGAATGTATTTTGCAGCTATGATACAGGTGAACACCACAATACAGAAGCTAGATTTTGGAGACTGTGACCTGGTAAGTAAACTTAAAACAAAATATTTGAGAGACTTGTCAAAAATAAAAACTTAGTTCAACCATCTTTACAGTACACAGCCAAGAAAGATTTGCCATTGTGGTTTTGAATGGAATATAAAACCAATTTAAGTGTTAACTTAAATTGTTCAAGTTTAACGGAGCAGCTGAGTTGACTTTTTCTGGATTTTTTATTTTCAGGGTACGCAGAGCATTATAGCTTTGGCAACTGTTTTGAATCACAATGAGTCAATTAAAGCTTTAAATCTCAACAGGCCAATTCTGTACAGTGAAGAAGTGAGTATGCTGGGCAGTTTTAATAGCAATGACACATGACATGGCCATGAAAACACCCCTAAATTTAAATTCATTTCCCTCTCTCCAGGGAAGAATAGATGGTAAGAATTATAAATATGGACAAAAATCTTAGACAATGTCAAGTTTCTTTGTCCTTTGAATCTACACTAGCCAAACCCAGATGAAATCTAATGTATCTCCTCTCCTCACACTTGGAAAGCACCATGTTGGGGAAGGTTGCAGTTAGGAGCCATGGTGGCACAGTGGTTAGAATGCAGTATTGCAGGCTAATTCAGCTCACTGTCGGGAGTTCGATCCTCACCAGCTCAAGGTTGACTCAGCCTTCCATCCTTCCGAGGTTGGTAAAATGAGGACCCAGATTGTTGGGAGCAATATGCTGACTCTGTAAATCGCTTAGAGGGGGCTGTAAAGCACTAAGGAGCGGTATATAAGTCAAAGCGCTATTGCTATTGCTACCTGGAATAGGTTCAAAATGTAATTTAATAATATGGAACTTCAGGAAGAAACCACCATCCACATAGCTTCCATGCTGAAAGTCAACTGCACCTTGGTGGAATTGCATTTATGTAAACATGGAATGAAGAATTTTGGGATTGAACGTCTGTGCGATGCCTTGTACAACAATAGCACCCTCCGATATCTTGATCTCAGCTGGTAAGAGAGCCTTGAACAATACAGTTTGCTTTGTTAGAATAGGGCTTCTTTTTTTAACACTGTTTGATAATTCTGAAAACTTCTGCCTCCTTAGTTGTTCCTTATCCTCCTTCACAAGCCTGCTGATATTCCCCCTTTGTATGGAGGTAGAGATAAACAATTACACTTCTCTTGCATCAAACCAGGCTTCTCAAACTTAACATGTTTTACACTGTAGATATGTTGAGATTTCTTGAATGTCCAGTGTCGGATGTGGGTGTATACATTTTGAGAAATACGATTTTTGAGATATGATGGCAAATTCTACTGAAATGGATGCAATTAAGACCTTGTAAAGTTCTGGTTTTCAACAATTTTGAACAGCTGTGCTAGAAAAGAAACCATATTAATAATATTGGATAATAGTTAAAGTTATATTGTGGATTTCAAGTTTTATATCCAAATTCAGGTCCAGATTAAAGTTGTGATTTTGTATCCCATTTCCTACGAATAAAGCCAACTAATGACAGTGGGATTCACTTTTGAGTAGAAATATAAAATGAAATGGTTGGAAACTAGAAAATCATCTATTACCAGTGTTTTCCAATCTTGGCTATTCCCAGATGTGTGAACTTCAGGTTTCAGAATTCCAATAGTCAGCATGGCTGGTGGACAAAAGTTCTGGGAGCTCAAGTCCACATACCAAATGTGGGAAACACGGATCTATTCCAACCCACTTCCTAATACAGAACTCCACCATAATTGTAGATGATTGTCTGGGTTCTATTTCAATCCCTCCAATGAAGGAGCAACCATTAATTCCTGAAGTTTCATTGTTGAGCAGCTCTGACCTTTCTTTAAGAGATTCTTCCTAATATCCAACAGAGCTCTACTTTTTTTGTAATTTAAACTTATTCTTTCTTATCCTGGCTTGTGAAACAATGGTGGGCCATTCTGCCTCACCTTCATGACAGTCCATCAAAGGCTTAAAAAGAGTTATTGTATCTTCTTATAGTTTTCCATTTTCCAAGCCATACCCATAGTCACTTCTCATAAGACTTTTTCCCCAGGTCTTCTAACATCTTGGTTATTTTCAACACACATTCCAATATCTCAGTGTTATTCCTAAAAGATGGTGCCCAGAATTGGCACAATATTTGAGGTGCAGCCCTGCCTGCTTAAAGAAGACTCAAAGAAATCAATGGAACTTAAATCATATAATTCAGCTTGTTCATAAATAAATACACCTAGACTTGTCTTGACAGCTTTCCCAGCCTTTCTGAACAGTGTACAGGAAGGAAGGGCAATTGTATAATACAACATGGCATTAAAGTATTCGTTGCCGATAAGTATTATTTAGGAAACAACCATGCATATTTCTTCTGTCATGCCTTCTCGCTACTGACTGTGCAAGAGTACCTTATAATATTGACCTTTGTGGACTGCAATACAGTTCCTCCTCTAGAACATAATACATTCTTTTAGAAATGAATATTTATGCTTATCTCTTTTCAGTAACAAAATTAGCCGAGATGGCATGAAGTTTCTAGGACAGCTATTAAAACAAAACACTACGCTTGAGATTGTGGATCTTAATTTTAACAGGATAGAGGATGATGGTGCTTTCTACCTGAGTGATGCCCTTGCTACACATAATCAGACCCTCCAAGCGTTAGTATACAAAATCTTTATTCCCAGTCATATGGATGTGATAACGTAAGATATTGAAAATCTTGCAGGTATGAATGAAATAAAAAAAAATGAAAACATTATTCAGGCTGTAATTTGAAGCACAACAGCCACATTTAGATCACTCTGTTAAAATGTTTTAGATGGAACATCAAAAAAAATCAGCATATTTTACTATTGCTTTCATTATTTGCTATGGATTTTTTTTTAAAAAGGTCCTAAAAAATCATGCCCATAACCAATTTTATGAAGGTTGTGTTTAGGTAAGTAGTTGCATGACATACTATCCACCTATTTTTGTGATCCTAGAATGAGAAATAAAGTGGGCTGTTTCAAGTTTCTTTAAGATAGGCTTAAGATACAGAAGGATCTTGACAGACTTGAACATTGGGTGCTATCCAACAAAATTAAATTCATTGGTGAAAAAAGTAAGGTTCTACATTTAGGCAAGAAAAATCAAATGCACAGGTACAGTGTATGTGGTACTTTGCTGTCCAGACAGTACAGGTACCTTGCTCAATAGTAGTAACTGTGAGAGGGATCTCGGAGAGGGAAAAGAAGGACTAGGGAAGACATGAGAGCAGTGTTCCAATATCTCAGTGGCTGCCACAAAGAAGAGAGTCAAGCTATTCTCCAAAGCACCTGAAGGCAGGACAAGAAGCAATGGGTGGAAACTAAGGAGAGAAGCAACTTAGAACTAAGGAGAAATTTCCTAACAGTTAGCACAATCAATCAGTGGAATGACTTGCCTCCAGAAGTTGTGAATGCTCCACTGGAAGTTTTTAAGAAGAGATTGGATCACCATTTGTTTGAAATGGTATAGGGTTTCCTGCCTAGGCAGGGGGTTGGACTAGAGGACCTCCAAGGTCCCTTCCAACTCTGTTCTTCCAATTCTATTCTATTCTATTCTTAAACAAAATTGAACAAAATTAAATTTCAAACAAAATTAAACCCATCTGAATCTGAATCTATGTGACCACTGCTGGTGGAACAGCTTAAGCACATGTCTCCTGGTGCCAAAATCTTCCTGATCACATTTCATTTGCTTGTAATCACTCTTCAGTGTGCTTATATCTGGGTCTGGAATGTGGGCTTTTCATATATCCACGGTTTGCTTAACCATGATTTGCTGAAAGCCATAGTGGTCTGGTTCATCTACAAGACTTCCGTTATCAGAGCATAGGTAAGAAGCCTTAAGGAAAATGGAAAGTGATAATTTTCCAGGTAGTTTCTAATCATCAAACAAGGAGAAGTTAGCATCAGGAGGTGGGCTAGAGACTGTCTTGTGTAAAAAGGGATAGAAAGCAAGATGGACTTTGTGGCTCTGGATAATGATAGCAGATGTGGTTATGGATGGAGAACAAAATGTAGAGATGCATCTAGTATACAAATATTTTCTCATTAAGTTTGAAAAAGACTAAGGCTGGTCAACTTTGCTCAAAACTTTGTTTTCTGATTTATATCCTTTTCTTAGGCTAGCAGTGACGTACAACAATCTATCTGGAGCAGGACTGGTTGCACTTTCAGATGCCATGAAAACAAACCCTGTCCTTTCGTACATCTACATCTGGGGAAACAAATTTGATGAGGCTGCTTGTGTGGTAGGTCCTTCTGCTCAGATGCTTCTTCAGACAAAGTTAACAGATTAACAGAGTTGGAAGGGACTTTATAGGTCATCTAGTCCCACCACCCAAGCACCCAAGCAGGAGACCCTACACCATTTCTGGCAAATGGCAGTGTAATCTCTTCTTGAAAGCTTCCAGGAAGCTCCCACAACTCCCGAAGGCAAGCTGTTCCATTGATTGATTGTTCTGTCAGAAAATTTGTCCTTACTTCTAGGTCGAATCTCTCTTTGTTCATTTTCCCTTCATTATTCTTTGTCTGACCTTCGGGTGCTTTGGAAAATAGCTTGACCCCCTCCTCTCTGTGGCAGCCCCTCAAATACTGGAACACTGCTGTCATGTCTTCCCCTGGTCCTTCTTTTCACTAGAATAGCCATGCCCAATTCCTGCAACTGGTTATCGTATGTTTTAGTCTCCAGTCCCCTAATCATCCTGGTTGTTCTTCTCTGTACTTTTTCTAGTCTCAACATCTTTTTATAATGTGGTGACCAAAACTGGATGCAGTATTCTAGGTGTGGTCTTACTAAGGCTTTATAGAGTGGTATTAATACCTTACTTGATCTTGATGGTATCCCTCTGTTAATGCAGTTTAGGATTGCATTGGCTTTTGGGGCTGCTGCTGCACACTTAATTGGTTAACAAAGACTCCAAAATCCCTCTCTCAGTTACTGCTATTAATAGTAACACAGTTACTATCTTTCAATATTTTTTTTAAATAAAAGTTTTTTGTTTTGTTTTTATTTAACACATCAACGTGGTTCCAGATTACAACATTTATACATAGTCATACTTGCATTTCCATGTATCTTGTATAATATCACCTCAAATCATTGCCCATTGCACTTGTCATTAAATAATTTTTTATTTCATATTTCAATTCATTAATTCAGTATCAATATCATTTCTTCCACACATATATTTTCAATTCTTTATCCCCTATTATTTCCAGTTTCAGCTTACCACCTATTTTATTTTACATTATACCTCATGATCATCCTTAGCTTTCTCTAGACCATATAATAAACAATCTAAAAATAATAGCAATAAAATAAAGCTAATATATTTAGGATCCACATGGTATATCCTCATAATCTATCTTTCAATACTTGAGGGGCTGTCACAGAGATGAAGGAGTTGAACGATTCTTCAAAGAGGCAGGACAAGAAATAGAGTGGAAGATCATTAGAGATCCAACCTAGAACTAAAGAGAAATTTCATGACAGAACAATTAGTGTAATGGCTTACCTCCAAAAGTTGTGGGCACCCCATCAGTGGAGGTTTTCAAGAGACTAGACAGCCATCTATCTAGAATGGTATAGGGTGTCCTGCTTGAGAAAGGAGTTGGACTAGAAGACTTCCAAGGTCCCTTCCACAGCTATTATTTTATGTTCTACAATATATTCTACTTCTATTTGACTGTTGTCTTCCCCCCGTCCCTCAAGGTAATTCTTTCAGTCCACTACATCCACATGTATTGTTGCCATATCTGCTGCATTCTTCATTTTATTTTCTTACTGAAAGTATCCCTGTGCCACTGCTTATTGCAAAAATGGTGAACTTCATATTCTGTGTTTTTTCAGGCATTTGCAGAATTGCTTCAGAGTGGCCGTTTGAAGCCCACTGGAACAGATGTTGAGCCATACGAAGTGGATGGACGTATATATCTTGCTGAAGTCTCCCATGGCCTTAAGCGTCATTACTACTGGACACCAAGTTATGGAGAACCAGATAACGAATATGAAAATGCATCTTTAGCAATAAATCCTGTTATAGAACATTTATGAATATAATTCTTCTCCCACCCACCCCCTTCAGCAATGTTTTCATGTGTGTGCCTTGCATTTAACGTAAGCACTTTTTTAGGTGTTTGTATCATAATCATGACAACAATCAATGCTGGGAATCTGGTTTATTCCAACAGTTGGCGTCTCAATGTAGCAATAGCTAATCTGATTGAAAGCATTTATTCTGTAGCTTTTGTGTTTGTGTGTATGTTGTATAGGAATTATCATAAATATGTTTTTATACTGTTTCACGTTTAAGTCATTGATCATTCTGAAATGAAGACTTTTCAAATCTCTCTTCCGTGTCCCTTTGTATCCCAAGCAACAATAGAAGAGCAGAGCCCAGAAGTGTTACAAAACCAGTTTATTCAAATCTAACATTAAAATATTGCAACCTATGCACGGGTACCCTCAGAGGGATGTACAAAAACAGGAAGTCAGCTACACATACATTTACCCTTGAACAAAAAAGATTTGCAAATACATGAGAAAAACATTTCAAAAATAACTTAAACTAGGGGAGGGGGGTGTAAATCACAAAACTCTTTAGGATGCCCACAATCGTGCAACTCTCATGTGGCAAAAATAATAACATTCTTGGCCAAGAGCTCAACATGCAGATGAAGGAAAGGTCTGAATATCCCTTTTCTGTGTGAAAGCAGTGTTCCACATCAGCATCAAAACCTCCGTTTAATGGCTGGTGAATCACAGCAAATAACTAGTCATCAACCAGGTTAATTTAAGTCCAAAATGCAGTTGGCTCTTCCTTCCATCTCCTCCCCACTGAAGCTAGAGGGGGAAGTTTCATACACAAAATGTAGCACACCCCTCTTTATGATCCAGTCCCTACAACACCCAGCAAATTTTCACAGCTGGTACTTTTAATACCAGCAGAAACCATGATTTGTGAAAAAAGATATGTTATCGTTCAACAGCCCACGTTTTCCAAGTATCACAGTAGAATCGTCAGACTTGGAATTAAAAAAGGTTGTATATTCAGTTATTGCTCCAATAATTTTCAGCTCTTCCAGAGCCTAAGTAGTGTATAAGATAAAAATGGTCTTTTAAAAAAATTGCTTCGTGTACAAACCACAAACCGTAGAAAGAAAGAAAAATATTTATAAATATTAAATAATCAAATACAGTCCAATAAAAAACCCCAGGGACAAGGTTTTTGGAAATTCTGAAACAGTGTTCAAGAGTGACCCAAATCATCTTCATCTGAAATACCTATATTAAACTGTTTTCTCCAGAAGATAGTTTATAACGATATTATAAAGAAATATATCCAAAATCTATCTTCGTATACATTTTACAATTTTTTTTGTGTGCTAACTGAAGCTTAGTATCACCAGCCCTAAGCAAGATTATACCACAAAGGTCGGTGGCACAGTGGTTAGAGTGCAGTACTGCAGGCTACCTCTGCTGACAGCCGTCTGCCTGCAATTTGGCAGATCAAATCTCACCAGGCTCAAAATTGACTCACCCTTCCATCCTTCCGAGGTGGTTTAATATGAGGACCCAGATTGTTGGGGACAATATGCTGACTCTGTAAACCGCTTAGAGGGGGCTATAAACCACTATAAAATGGTATGTAAGTCTTAGTGCTATTGCTATTTGAATGTATCAGGAAAATATCAACAACCAGCTCCTCTCCATCTTCACAAATGTAAGAAGTGGTTGCCAAGCTTCACAGAGATAATCCTCCTTTCCTTTTTCTCTAAACTATAACTCCTAAATGTAGGCTAACAATGCTAATTATTTTCTTGAATAGTCGGGGAAGGAAATAAGTACGAAAGCCACTTGACTTTGGGCTTGAAGTTTGTTAGGATAGCGATTTGGCTGCTGTAAATAAGGGCAAAATCCTTCTATTTTCAGTTTTGGATGGTTCAAAAACAGATTATTATTATTCAGGCTGGATTTACCAAGCAACACATCAGGCTAGGAATATAGTTCCTAAAATCAGAATTACTGGGTCTCTAGCTCTCCTGGTCCTGAAAAATGCATGGAGATGCCTTTTAAACTCTTCTTTTTTTCTTAGTCCTACTCATGCCAAGATTTCTGCACAATCACATCCAATGGCAATGTTCATCCTTCGCACACAGTTCTACAAATTCCCAGATTCAATAATTGGGACACAACTGTTACCACACAGCACACTTTTTAAAGATCTCTTGCCTGCAGGAACTGGAGGGCAAAATGCACAATACATTGGTTCCTTTTATATTATGCAATGTAAGGAATACGGTTCGTTCTGTCTGAATCTGGTTTTCTAGTTACTAGATTATATTCAGTTTTGCACATAAATACCATATACCTATATAAGCCAGATATCTGAGTGGGTACTACAAATCTTACCCAAATCAAAATTTGAATTTGGTATAGTTGTCAGAGAGAGGATACAGGTTGCATTAATGCTAAAACTGCTATAAATTTAATAATTGTACTTTTTCTTATGACACAATACATTTGCTTTTGTTGCATTGGATAAATTTGTAAAAGAATGGAATCCTACTCAAACATTTCTCCATCTTTTTCAATATTCCTGTATTTCCCAAGGTCTACAAAGAAGAATAAGAAAAGGAAGTGAAATAGTATAGCTAAGTTTTTCTTTTTTGTTTCTTAGGAGTTTGAACGTAACTTCACACATGTTTAAGTTTGCATGCTGTTTAATGTCAACTTAACAGCACTTTTCAAAAACATGTCCTTATCAGCAATTCCTTAAGGGCAGCTCGTAGTCAAAACATGAAAACAGAATTCTGGATAGACTGAATCTTTGGCTGAAACTAGCAGGTTAATTCCTCTACAATGCAGAGCTCCTTAAAGCATATCTATATTTTTGGCAAGGAGTGATTGAAAAAAATAGTTAAGCCACTTGGCACCTCCTCACAGAAACACTTGGTATTACTAAATAAAAAACATAACTGCCACGAGGACATCAAGAGCTAAAAGAAAATATTTGTCATTTTTTTACTCTTCTGTAGAAATGACAAGGAACCACTTCCAGAACTTGCCTTGAATTTTTGCTAAGAATTTCAACTGGAAGGGAATTGCTTTTCAAGAAAAAAGGAACTCAATATGCCTTTGGCAGCATAGAAATGGTCAGTGTGGATATTGTATGGGTTTGGGGCTAGCTTCTGTTGCACAAAAATTTTATAATTCATCAGACAGAAAAATCAGAAGTCAGCTATGTATTTAGAACTGATTTGGTATGCATGAACCACTCAGAATTTTAAACTAGGTGAACACAGCAGTGATCAGATAGTTTGACAGAGAAAAGATGGAATATCAGTATTTCTTCTTCAGCCCTTTCATTTTTCTGATAGCTGTGGAGGAAATAAAATTCTTTTTCTACAACTAACATGACAGATCAAACTAACAATCTTCTCATAAAGCTATAAACTTTTGTGAAATTACTGATAAACCAGAAGAGCTTTTCTTTAATCTGTAACAAGCCATTCCAAAATTTTCAAGCCAAGGATATCTGAAACTGGAAACAAAAGTCCTGGGACCAAGTAATTTGTATAGAATAGGTAGCAAATCAGAAAAAAAATTACTTTGGGTGATTTTAGCTTTGAATTTTATCCCTAAGACCTGAAATCTGATTTCAAGGACATTATAATTATATTATTTATTATCAATGGAGCCAACATACTTCACAACCAATGATAATAACTTATCAGGTTATTTAGCTGATATAGGCAACTTTGTAAATTTCTCTTTAGACAAGAAATTCATCCTGTGGCCTACATAGCAAACATCATTGCAACTTTCTATATCCAATGACTTAATCTCTCACTCAGATTTATCTCTGCTTCTGGAGACACAGCATCTTCTTCAGATAGCCTCCACTGTCTCAAAATCCTAATTTTCCATGACAAAAAAGTTGACATCCTGGAAATGGCGCAACTCCCCCACCTTTTGTCCAATGGCATCCAGTTGCTGCATCTATTTTGGCTATTTCCAGAGTTGCTTTCAATTATTGTTGGGTTTGTTTATTTCAAAAGCTAAATCATTTACAGTTAAAAGAAGACCTCTCTAATTTCAGTTCAATGTTTTGTTTGAATACCTTGACTTAGTTTCTGCATGAACGCTGCAGGATCTTCCCTGTGTTAAATGGTTTAGGATTCTTAAGGCAGGTGTTGAAGAAAAACAAACGTTTTTTTAATCTCCTAGAAAATGCAATCTTGATTCTTTCAGGTTAAAATACACAATCTTTGTCCTAGAGTAATAAAATACTAGCAAAAAAGCTGAATTCAAAGCAAAGTCCATAGTGGAAACTGAGATGTAATCTAGCTCACCCATAGCTCCCTTTGATCAGAGACGCTTGGATTTCTAGAGTTTTCGTCACTCAACAGTTGTCAGTACAATTGTTGGAGGAAAATAAACTGAGGTTCTGAATATCCCGTGATGGAAGATCGCAGAAGTGTGTCAGATGGGGAAGACTGACCATCCGTGACAGGCAGCAATACCTGATGGTCCTCTGTTCCAATGGGCAGAGGCAATATGTCTGAAGGCTTCACATCAGCAGATTCCAGCAAAAGGCTTTTCTCACTTGGAATTGAATCTTGCTCGCTGAAGGAAGGGTCAAGTGCAATGGAATCCAATGGGTTCTCAGAATCTGAAAAGTCAAACAAAGCCGAAGAATTAGTCTTGAAAACAAAGATCTACTGTATTTTTCGCATTGTAAGATGCACCCGACCATAAGACGCACTTAAGTTTAGAAGAGGAAAACAAGAAAAAAAACATGGAGTGTCAAATATGGAGCAGCAGTGTAGTGAGGGCAGGAGGTGGAGCCTGAGAGGACCATAGATAGGTGTCCTCTCATGTGCCAGCTCTGCCTATTGATTCCTGCACTGTGGAAAAGAGACAAAAGAGGTGGGCAATGACAAAGACGGAAGAGGCGGGATTTAGCACTGTAAAATGACCCCGCCACGGTGGCCCAGCTGCTATTCACCAAAGGACCGGAACCGGTCCACCATTGGGACCCCTGAGGTAATACATGTCACAGTCTGTGATGCAATATTCGCTCCATAAGATGCACAGACATTTTCGCCCCACCTTTGGGCGAAAAAAATGCATCCTGCAGAGCAAAAAAATGTGATATTTAATATATACCATGTAACATGGGCCCAAGGAACATTATATTTATATTATATTTATTTTATATTTACAAACTATAGATACAAAATAAGTATATCAAACTTCTTAACCACCCATCTCCCTCACAGAGGAGCTCCGGCCAGTGTACGATTTAACCAATACAACAAAACATTTCAACCAAATAATTTTAAGATTAAAAATTTAAACCAGCATTATAAAACTGCAAGAGATGGGAGAGATTGAAGATGGGGAGACTAAAGAGCTGTTAAAACAGGTGAGGGGAGGGGTCCTCACGGCAAGGCTATTTAGCTAGGTTTTGACCCCTCTGCGGAAAGCCAAGAGAGTAGGGGCTTTCCTGACCTCTGAGGGCAAGATGTTCCACAAAGCAGGGGCAGCAGCAGAGAAGACCCTCTTCCTTGACCTAACAAGAAATTCTCTGACTGATGGGGTCCGTAGCATATTTTCTGCCTAAACTAGCGGGAAGGGCTGATGTGATATATAGGGTTTTATAGGTAATGACCAACATCTAGCAATGCCTAACACAGCAATTAGCTTCTAGATTTATAAAGATATTTTTAAAAGTTGTTTCTCTTTCTTTCCCAATCAACCCCCATAATACTTAGCTAGCAGAGCCACTAGCACTAACAAGAATTAGACTGCAACACATTATTTATTTGAGTTATATCTTATCCTTCATTCAGGAACTCAAGGCAGCATACCACAGTGCTTCTTCTTCTGTTTTTCCCCACAGCCACGTTCCTATGGGAGAGGTTGAACAACTGGTCTCAAATCACCCAGTCAGTTTCGGTGCCTGAGGACTGACTAGAACCTGCAGCTCTCGGGTACCAGTCTAAGACTTTAACCACTGAGGCACACTGCCTCTCTTTTTTTAAAAAAAAAAGTGTTGAGGAAAGGCTCTTCTAGACTTCATCAAAAAAGGACAATCTGCTGGAGTAGTATAATTTTTCCCTACAAATACATTAATACTTTAGGCGTTTATTTATTTAGGCCAGCGATCCCCAACCTTTCCAGCTTTGTGGGCCAGTTGGAGCGGGGAGAGGGAATGGTTACACGCGAGTGCTAGTGAAGACGCGCACAGTTCCATTTGCACAAAGGGTGGACAAACGCGCCTGTCGCACAAATAAGAGTTGTGCTCACTTGCTCACTGCTTCCATGGTCCAGTTCCAAGGCCCGATAATGGGCTGTGGCCTAAGGGCTGGGGACCCCTGATTTAGGGCAATGCACTGTTAATTTCCGATAAAACTAGAGTTTGAAATTCACATTTTATTTTTAACAGTTCCGGCAACAGGTCATAAAGGTCTATCCACTGATGACTGAGATCCCAGTTTCAAGGGGGAAAAAATTGCAAAGAGGTGGCAGGAAGATGAGGAATGTCAAAGCAGTATACCTGAAAAATAATCACGTCTTTGCAGATATATTAAGCCTTCAAATGACTGTACCTAAAAACTACATAATTGTATTGTCTTCTGCACCCACCACAACAGCCAGAAAGATAGCCAAGCACCCATACTGTAGCTGAGGGATGTCTGACACAGATATCACCATAAATCTTCCAAGTATTTGATTGTTATGCCAAACCCAGCACTGGAATAATGGATTTTTGTAAGAACAATAAAGGAAAGACATGCAATTAATTTTTACAAGTTACATGAGATTCAGCCCTGCGTAAAAAAAAGCTAATGATTAACCTAGGTAAAAAAACAGTACAGAGGGACAGGGAATCGTTTCAACTAAAGAAAAGCAGTACTGAAAACGTGATGCAACACTCCCATATTTTCCTGCCCATTTATCCTTTCCTGGTTCCAGTTTGTTTTCTTAGTTTCTTTCAGTATTTTATGCAGGGATAGATTAACAATAGAGAATGTCAAGACGTCACTACAAAAAAATCCAGCATTTAACTTTGTTAACTTAAGAGGACTGAGGCACAGATTTCTCTGCTTTGAACAGATGAAGTAAATGCCTTTTATCTAGGCCCATGATGGAGAACCTATGGCACGCAGAGTCCTCTCTGTGGACACACGAGCTGTCGCCCCTGCTCAGCTCCGCCGCGCATGTGCGCGTGCCTCCTGCTGGCCAGCTGGTCTTTGGCTCTGCCGTGCATGCATGGGGGATGGGGCTCATGCACGGGGCGTCACGCATTGCATTTTGGGGGTTTGCATGCATGCGCTTTGGGCACTCGGTGTCAAAAAGGTTAGCCATCACTGATCTAGGCTATGTAAGCATTAGGTATTAAAGTCAGCACTTACCCGAATGAACTTTCAATTTGTGTTTCTTTAGGTTCTTGATATCTGTATAGGAGTTTCCACACAGCTCACAGATAAATGGTCTTTCACCTGAAAGCAAAATTTCTAGTCAGAGTCCCCAAATTCCAATATAGATATTTCAACAGGAAGGGAGTGGGGAATGAAATCACAATTAGCAATTAGCAAATGAGCAATAGTATAGCATTAAGCAACATTTCATGCGTAAATAATGGATTTGCTTCAGATTTTACCTGTATGAGACCGGAAATGTTTGTTAAGTTCTCCTGAAGAAATGAAGCTTTTGCCACAAATGCCACATATATACGGTTTCTCTCCTGCAGAGAAAATAAAGGATAAGTTATCAGAAAATGCTGCCTTTCACCTATACTCTAATAGAGGCAGCATAGTCTCTTTATGGTACATAGGTAAAGGTTCCCCCCGCACATATGTGCTAGTCGTTTCTGGCTCTAAGGGGGTGTGGTGCTCATCTCCATTACAAAGCCGAAGAGCCAGGGATGTCCGAAGACGTCTCCGTGGTCATGTGGCCGGCATGATTAAATGCCGAAGGTGCCCGGAACGCTGTTACCTTCCCATCAAAGTGGTCCCTATTTTTCTACTTGCATTTTTACATGCTTTTGAACTGCTAGGTTGGCAGAAGTTGGGACAAGTAACGGGAGCTCACTCCGTTATTCGGCACTAGGGATTCGAACTGCGAAACTGCCGACCTTTCTGATCGACAAGCTCAGCATCTTAGCCACTGCGTCCCTTTTTGATACATAGAATGGTCTTAATCAGATGCCTGGTCTCCAAATTTTTTAGTCTGTTATACTTTCCTCCTGAGGGCAAAAGACACATGAATCCACGTTTTGCCTTTCAAAACTTCCCTTTTTATAGCTACACCAGCCCAGTAGGGCCTCCCCAGTTCATTTTATTTCAGGATTACCTGTATGCTTTCTTGAGTGAGTGATGAGCGAACTTGAAACAGCAAACGTTTTCCCACAGGTGTCACAGACATAAGGCTTTTCTCCCGTGTGTCGTCGCACATGGTAAGTCAATGTGCTTGCTTGTGCAAATCGCTGCCCACATCGATCACAGACATATGGCTTCTCTCCACTGTGTTTCCTAAGGTACAAAAGTAAACACCTACTATCCATGCCCTGGTGGCTTTTCAGCAAACAACATCCCTCTTTAGCCAAATTTCAGGTGATGCTCATTCACTCACCTGGCGTGAATTTTTAGATTACTTGAAGTTGCAAACTGCAGGTTGCAGGCGTCACACTTGTATGGTTTCTCCTCTCCGTGATGCATTCGGCTATGGAAAACAAGCTGGCATTTCTGAATAAAACCTTTGTCACAGAGTTCACATTTGTATGGCTTTTCACCTGCAAAGGGAATTAAGATGTTACTTTAGTCATGCCTTCTAAAGGAATTTTTATTTTCCGTTCTGGACAAAAATGAATTGTGGACAGAGACAGGGAGATATGGCTGAATTTCAGAGAGTGGGCAAGAACCCATCTGGTGACATCATTTGGACCCTAGTAGAAGTCCATCTCCTTGGCTGATGACACTCTTTATTCCAGCTTAACAGCACTTTGATTTATTGTCAGTAATAGATGCAATGGAGAAATATGTTTTTCTTGATTATCCATAATAATTTAGCAGTAATTGCCCATGTAATGCTGAAAAACTTTTTGCCACAAATCAACCCCTTGACAAAAATGTTCAGGAGTTCTAGATATTGTCTTTCTGCTTAATTAATGCTTGAACATTTTCAGGTGCTGTTTACTCCACTAAGTTTTGGAATGATTACACATTTAAGAGAAAGGAAGAGGTAGGTAGCAGGGATTGTGTGTGTGTGTGTGTATTCTTTTCATGATTTCACAGTTGTTTATCAAGTCAGATTTGACATTCCAAGTTTATTTATGTATTCATTACATTTATATGCCATCCATCTCACTATCAAGCAACTTTGTGTGGCTTACAATGTCATAAATAACAGTATAAAACAATTAGAAGGTTAAAAACATTGGCTATTAGAAGTTAAAACACAAAATTGCATCCTGTATACTGCAAAGACAATTCAAACCAACAGAGTTATTTGTTAGTTCTAGACGATTGCACAACAAAATATACTCTTTAGAAAGACATGGTTTAATTGTCACATAATCCTCATCAAAAAACCCCAAAACAATGAAAGGAACTGTGATAATCTCACACTGTTACTTATTAAGATTTTAAATACTGTGCGCTGGAGCCACATATTCCATACACTTCCATAGCAAACATTTTTTAAAGACTGCCAGAAAAAGTGGGGGGGGGGAACTATTGTGGGTTTTCTTTTATAGTGATCAGTCTGAAGGATTACAACAAGATTCCTTTTTTGGTGAAGTAGAAGCTTACTGGTTTACAGGCAATATGATACCAAAGAAAATGACTTTCCTCATCTCTCCTTCCTCCTAGCTGTCTTCAGCTTTCAGTTTTAGATTCTGGGCATCTATCCAGTTAGCACCTGGCATGTCTTTCCAGCCAAGCAACATGACCTTGGATGTCTTCTCAAAACACTGACTGTGAAAAACGAACCCTTCTTTGACACTCCTTCAAACTCACAGAGACCTAAGAAGGACATTACTGTATTCCTTTTCAGTCTTTTTGCCTCTCTCCTATGTTTCCTGGCCTGGGGATTCCCTGCCTTAGCATTTAGCCAACCCCTTCTCTTGTCCAGCCCTTGCCAGATATTTGGCAGGACCAATATAAGAGCTCTCTCTGTTTCTTATTTTAGCACTCTCTTTTACTGTTAGCGGATGTAATTTTGGCTGATTTGATGCCTGAGCTGGTTTTGTGACTATTGCTGGACCAGATCAGGAGTTGGCACTTAATCACTGTTCTTCCCACCGGACAGGGTTTCCAAAACCAAGCAGAACAGGAGGCTCATTCCTTGACTTAGCAGACAGGTCACTAGTCAATGTCCTCGGAAGCCTGACCGTTCCATTACTGGATTCCCATCTTTCTGATAACATTGCAATTCCCATAAACTTCAGCTGCTACTTTAAAGCTGAGCTGCCAGGCCTCTGGCTGTTTCCTCCTTATTGAGCCCCATAGCATAAAATGTACGTACTCCTATCTTCATCTGAGTCTTTGGTTTTCTTCCCAAGCCTCTTCCTCAGTGTTCTTCAGCCTTCTTCCACTAGCTCTCTGCCATACCAAATCTTCAGCGACCACTATGTCAGCTACCACTATGCTATCAACACACCATCACCCAGTTGCCACCCAACTTCTCTGGAATTAGCCTTTTTTAAAGCCTTTTTGCCTCACACATGACCTGCACAGGTGTAAATGTTTATGTACAAGACAAGTAAAGGGTGACACTGCAAGGCAACACAGTTCTTTCTCTCAACTATTTGTCACATAAACCATAAGATCCTCCAATTTTTTTACAATTATGGCAAAACACAAACTTACTGTTTACATCAAAGTACGTCTGCACTGTCAACCATAACTTGTGCATCAGCAACCAGAAACCATTTTGTTTAATAAGATCTGGCAGAAGCTCTAACCATGTTTTTGTAATGTATTGTGGGCATTTTTTCCCTTTCCTTTCCTTTTACTTTTATAACGTCCCTACCTAAATAGTCCTGGCAAGAAACAAATATTACAGAAAGGGTAATACAAATATTACAGAAAGGGTAGAACAAGGCTATAGCTCATAAATCAGTAAGATCAGTTTATCAGGACAAAGTAATACATCTAGTCGGAAAATGCCCAAGACTGAGCTTTCTGCTCACAAATTATATTTGGTAAAATGTTCTCTCTCTCCTTGCAGCTTACAGAAGCAACGAATACTGATATATCTAGTTTCATTTGATAGGGTATACCTACTTCCTTAAAAATAATAATATGAAGAACGTTCCTGAACCCTACTTATATAACTGATCACAATAGCAATAGCACTTAGACTTATATACCTCTTCCAGTGCTTTATAGCCCTTTCTAAGTGGTTTACAGTGTCAGCATATTGCCCCCAACAATCTGTGTCCTCATTTTACCGACTTAGGAAAGATGGAAAGATGAAAGTTGGCAAAAGGGAATTTATTTGAAAGATGGGCGGCCTTTCCTGCTCATTGTGACAAGATGTAATTCCCAAACCCAAATAAACAGCCTACCTGTGTGAGTTCTTACATGCGTTTTCAGCTGGTTGCACTGGGTAAAGGCCTTGCCACAGAGCTGGCACACATATGGTTTGACTCCCTTGTGAATCCGCATGTGCCGTCTCAGACTACTAGATTCCGAAAATATCTTCCCACATGTATTACACACTGGCTTGGCCTTGGGGTATTTCTGATCCAGGTCTTCTCCCGAGCTCTCCAACTGATAGGAGTTCTTGTCACTGGTAATGTTAGATAAGCAGTGCTCTTTCAAAGCACAGTTTTGACGTGGTTGGCCTTGTTTTGGCTTCACGCCCATAGTCTGCACAAGGATTTCCTGAGCAGCAAAAGTTTCACTCTCCACCACAGGGGTAAGTTGCAGTTCAGAATTATCGCTGCCTTGGGCAGCTTGTTCTGTTATCTCGGTGGCCAATTTATTTGCATCTAAAAACATCTCCATGGCAGAGTTTTCTGCAACGTCACCTGGATATTGTACTGGCTTGCTCGGTGGGTGTTTGGGAGAACTGAAGGCCTTTTTTCGTTTTTTGGGTTGGACAGATTTTTTCCCCAAGGCTACTGTTAAGACTGGAGACTGAACTATATCCACCGAAGGGGCATCTGATTTCTCCTGGTTATTGTAGTCACGAAGTGTTAGCAGGCAGGTCTGTTGGTTCAATGCAATATTCCCAGTGATACTAGAAGTTTCTGTAGAAGAAGGATTAGCAATAAAAGCAAAATCTTCCATTTTAATTTTACATTTAGTGACTACTTCCTCCACTTTAAGGTAGTCGGCAGCCTGGTGAATTTCTTTAACATTCCAACTGCAAGAAAAATATACATGAAGAAAACTGATGGTCTTAAAAATGCATGAATATTAAATTAAGAAAACAGATACAATTTTTAAACAAGATTTTTAAAAATCTAGATCAGAAATAAGACTTATGCTTCCTTTTCCTCTTTGGAAATGGCCATTAAATCACAAAAATAAGCATCAGCCATAAAAGTTATGTCACTGCTATATAATCCCATTTTACCAATCAATTCACCTGAACTATATAGTCTAACACTGTTATTCAGATGGACCAAATCTGATACTGGACTGTAGTTGACATAAAGCATGTCACAACAGAAGTACTGCCACATAAAAAATATGGTAAATATTAAGACATGAGCCAATGCTTAGATGGACCACTGGGCAAATTTTAAGCCTGAAAATATTGAATTCAGTTTAGCCTATAAAAATGTGCTGAATGGAAAATAATCACCAACATTTTTTACATATCACCAAGTGATACTAACTGAATTATTCTTTCAGTCACCTCTGTGAGAGGCAGGGTGATGTAGTGGTTCAAGTATTTGGACTAGTCGTGGGGAGATTTAAATTCTCTCTACCTTCAGTCATGGAAGATCATCAGGTGACTTCAGACCTCCTCACCTGGTGGTCCTCGTGGGGACAAGTAGGAGGAGCAAGTACTATTGTTGGCTTCTTGAATTATTGTACAAAGACAATCTAATATCTAAATACATGACAAGCGGTATGAGTTCTAATTCCTTGTAACAAGCTGTTGTCATACAATCTGTTAAGCTGTTGCTTGTTATGACAGTTGAATCGAAGGACATTTTCCCCCAACTTCCTTGCTTAATACTGATTTTTTTAAAGTACACTACTCATATAACAGAGGATTTTTGTACCATGAAACGAGGAGCCTGCAAATTGGATTAAACTAATCATCATGTGACATTGCACATCACCTTGCCTATACTAGTTTCCTCTTCTGCTCCTGCCTGCTCTATTTCTGTAACATCTTAACTTACATTGTATTGTATACCTTAAGCGAGCATTCTCATTCTGTCTAGTATTTCCTTTAAACACTAAATAAATATCCAGCCATACCTATCAAGTTTTAAATCTCCTGTGTATATGAATTCCAAAAGTTTCTGAAATCCATCAGCCTTCACTTGATTCTGATCCAGAAATATATTACTCTCTGAAGTGTCCCTGTAAATAGCCCAAAAGTACTCGCTAAAGGATGCAAGAACATTTCGATGAGCTTTGAACTGGAATTCACCAATAATGATGGTGCAGTCACAAAGGAAGCCCACTTCACGCTGCCTGTTCAGACTTTCCAGTAGATGCTCAGAGTGATGGGAACACTGCATTTTGTGTAACGATGCACAGTTTCTTCCCTTTGGCCTGAGAAGAAAAACAAATATATAAGCATCAGGGTTCCTCATTCCAGCAGAAGAAAAGAAAAAAACACAAACTCATTCAAATATTTGTCTCTATCTACTATTTTTGAATTATTTAGACAACAGAATCTAATTATTATGAAGAAAAGCAAAATGCTCAGACAAAACTAAAACTATTTCATTCACCAAATTCAACATCCCCACGGGTGCTATAGCTCACAAAAAACATTTGCTGGGGAAAGATGTTCTAGAAAGTAGGAGCATTCAGTTTCCAAAACAAACAAATTTAAATCACATCGAAAAGGAAGCAGGTTAGATACTATTTTAGAATGTAGTAAGAGATTTTGAAAACTGGACTCTCTTTTGGCTTGCCAACCAGAGGCTGAATTGGATGGGTGCCCCATCAGATTTTCTGCATCCTCAGAGCAGGTTTTCCCCACAACCCCATGCATGTAAGTTTGGCAGAATAAATTCAAGAAGCCAAACTTAAAAGGATATATCTCAGTTGCAGAGCTCAATTGAGACTCTTCCCATTTTATGCACAGGATATTATATCCCACTCCTCAGTGTCTTTATGTAGGGATACAAAGGGCAGAATATGATTTGGAGTGCCATCTGCAATCCCCCCCCCCCCCAAAGACATCCTTTTCGGTGTTCTTAACAGGGATGCATAGAGGTAGCTTCTTTATTTATTACATTTATTGGCTGCCCGTCTTACCCCAGGGTAACTCTGGGCGGTTTACAATATGAAAAAGATAAAATTATACAAATAAAATACGATATGCAACCCTAGCTGACAGATGGGGAGGGAGGGAGGGAGCAGGATGAGCAAGGGGGAAAGGTGGGATGTGTTATTAATCTAATCCATCTACACAGAGTGGAAAGTTGGACCAGGACTGGAGAGACTCAGATTCAAGGGACTCCCAAACTTCCATTAGAGAAAGTCACTGGGTGATTTGGGCTCAGTTGCCCTTCCTCACCCAAACTTCCCTAACAAGGCTGTTAAGGGGTTCCTTCCCTGTGCAAAATGCATGGAGCCCCCTAATAACAAATACATTGGGGGGTGGTGGCAGTTTTGGGGCAATTCTGCAAAGTGGCATCTCCTGTAAGAGCAGAACACAAACTGGCACCAGCATCTTTTCGCCTGAGGATTTGGCTGAGGGGGTGGGAGGGGAAAGAGCTCCCTCTGGTTCCAAATCTGACCTCCCCAAATGCCGGCTCCCTCCTGTCACTCACGCCCGGCAACTGGGATGCCTCCCACCCACTTCTTTTCCTTGGTCCTTCGGATTTCTCTCCAGCAAGCCCGGGTGTCCCTTCTCCTTCCTTCTCCTTCCCCCCCTCCCCCGCCATCCAGCCCAAATGGTTCCGTCCTAGTCCGCTTCCTTTTCTTCTCCCCCACCCCTCCCCTCTCTTCAGAGTTATAGTGGGCAAACACACCTGGCAGGGGTGGCAACTCGAGCGGAAGAAGCTTCCGCTCAGGGCGCCATTTTGTGATGATGCGGGTTGAATCCGCCCTCTTTGGTTGGTGGCGGGTCAAGGCTCACTTCCGTTCGCAGAACAATTCCAGCCAGGAAAGAGTGGCGGTGACAGCGCTTGGAATCGGGGCGGGGCTTCATTACGTAGTTGTGGGGAAATGGGCGTTTCTCCAGCATAAACTACATTTCCCATGATGTCTAGCGCTATAAATTATTAATTTTTAGGGTGGGTGCGAAAGACTTTGTAGAGACGGATGGCGTGAAATGTATTTGTCCTCTGATAAAGTGGAAATTAAGTATATTAGGATTCACTGGTCTGGAATGTCTATAGTAGATCTAGGCAGGAATGCGCATTAGCCACATAAAAGCATTACTCTTACTTTTACGGCGCAAAGTCGGAAACAAAAGTAAAAACATTTATTTCAAAGCCGCACGGTTTGCAATATTAAAATGTTGAGGTGCACGGGTTTTTTTTAAGTTTTCTTTTTTTTTTAAAAAAAAAGTTACCCCTAGCCGGTGGGAGCATGTGTAGTAAATATTAAAAACAAATTTATCGCAACAAGTTGAGGGAAATAGTCAATTTTTAAGCAATTTCTGTCCATTATAAATAAAATAAATTAAAAAGAACTTTGAACAAGTACCTTGATGTCTAAATAAAAGTCGTTTTTTGAGATTAAAATGTTTCCGCCCGGTTTCGAACCGGGGACCTTTCGCGTGTTAGGCGAACGTGATAACCACTACACTACGGAAACCATTATGCCCAACCCTTTGGAATTATTTTCCTTACACGCCTTTACTTTTATTATACCTAGGCATCTTCAAGTAGAATTTGAGTACAGCAGCATTCAACAGTGAGACCAAATGTTTATTCACAAAAAACTCTAACTAAAATATAGATACTGCAGTCCCAAATGAAGATTTCCTCTATCAAGTCATGCTGCTACACATCTATAGGGTAATGATACCTAACTGGGTAATGAAATGTCTGCAAGCAAGTAACCCAGCTCGAAGAGAAGTAAATATATCACAATTCAACCTTGAGCTACGTATATTCACAACTATAGAAAAATTAACATTTATGCTTACAAAAAATAATTATTACATTATCCTCATTTTCTGTTCTTAAAAACCCAGTTACATATGACTTGGTAAAAAGGACTGATTATTAACTTGATAAAAAGAAGGGATTAACTGTTATTCTGTCACTCCTTGAGACAATTGTTGAGAATTAAAACAGTATAAACAAGAAGTGGTAGGTTATATTCTATAAGACCCTATAAAATTAATTTTAGAAAAGGACATTATAAGATGAGCATAAACGCCAAATTGAACACAGCGGGATTTCAGGGGTGAGCAAGAAACAACGGGTTTGATGGATGATTAAATGTAGATTCTTTTTCCATGCTTTCCTTTGTTTCAAGGAAGGAATATAATTACCATCTCATCCTTATTTCCACTTGGTTTCCAGGTGAGATCATCTGAATGTTAAATTAATATCTACAGAATATAACTTGCCCAGATTTTCCCCTCTCCTTCCTGTGGTGAAGTTAGTTGAATTTCTTATTTCCTAATAAATAGAGCACTTTAATTATCTGTAACTATTACAAAGTAAGTACCTGTTCCATCAAAGTAAATAGCACCATTACACAAACACAACAGGTGTTGTAGCAGGTGTTCCTCTCCCTCTTCAAACTTGTGGGAGTGGAAACCTTGTGCCAAAGCATAGCCTCAATCTTCCATTTTAAAAAATCATGAATTGTTTCCTACAAGTGTTAGGAAGAAGGGAAAAAAATTGTGCCCACATGAAAGATGTTGCAAGTCCCCATGGTTGAACTGAGACTTAAAAGATGACACATGATATTCATTAGGATGGTTCATATGACATGCTTATTTGTTATCAAATTATTTTGTTGTGCAATTAATTCAGTTTTCTTGGGGCATGTAGCATACTGAACTATAAACTCACTACAAGAACCAAGCTCCCACAAACACTTTGGGCTAAAAGATGGTTTGATACTTATGTGGGAGTAAATCCCATTGGCTTCAATGGGGTTTGCTTCTGATTAAATTTGGGATGGGAAGCTGATGAGTTCCAGATTTCCCTTATGATTGTTGGCTGAGATAGACACAGCCATAATTCCAAAAATTTGGAAAGCTACAGCTTTCTCCTTCCTGGTGTAATATAAAGGATTCCAATGAATACCATTCAGTCATTGCTAAGTGATTGATGGGTCACAAGTGAAGAAAAAGTATTTTTACATACCTATTACCCCACTTTTAAGTGGTGAAATGTTTCAGGCGTGTTAGTGCTTGCTTGCCATTCTTTGCCTTTCAAATGGAAAGATCATTACATTTCTTTGTCTTACAAACTGGAAGAAGATTGTTTTGAGTGAAGACACTTCTGTCACCTGTTTATATGGGGCTATACACTAAATATAGAATGAGGAATTTGCTGTACATTACCATAACACATTGCTGCCCTAGTCCTGGAGGGGGAATAACCTCTTCTTCCAGGAAGAGAAGATAGTTTTGCCCATTTCCCCAATCCCTGCCCAGACTCTATGCTTCTTAAACATTCCCCATATCATTGTCTTGCCATTGTCTTTCTCCAAAAGCCAAATAAAAACCCACCATAATTCTTTTGTGGGTATGTTATATCAGTAAACTTATTTGACCAGTTGACTTTCTATCAAAATAGATCATTCCCTTTTATCAGATCTTAAGAGGTCTTTGTTTCAAGGCACAACAATCTTTGAATCAAGATTGTAGATCAAGAAAGATGTACTTTGAAGTCTTTTTCACCAAATCCTGAAACCCATAACAATTGGCTGCCATGCAAGTTGGGAATTGTCACTTCAATGGAAAACTGAAGGACTTCAGACTAGGAGAAGCAGATGCATTTCTTTCACTCCCCAGACTTATTGGGAAGATAATTATGAAAATATCTGCTTCCCAGAAACATAAAGTGCTTACAAAGAAGGTGCCACAGATCTAACAACCTGGTTGTTAAACACAGAGTCCTCTTCCAATGAGAAGCAAGTGGTGGGTGAGATTCAAGCTCAAATTATTATTTTTTGTTATCCTTAGCAATGCTGGGGCTGCAATTCCTGAAAGCAGCAATTCTGTGAGGGCAGCTTCACAACTAGGCTTGGTATCCAGGTCCTCTGCCAGAAGACCCTGAGAGAATTGGAATCAGTCAGAGGAAGGCCAGATATGTCCAAAAAAGTCAAGAGGGTGGCTGTGACCATATGATTAAAGCTATTATATGTTTTTATATGCAATGCATTTTAAAGGTAGGTAGAACATCCATAGCACCATTGCAGCTGTTTTAGCTCTTTTCACTATAGCCTGACACTCCCAATGAAAGCAGTAGTATTGATGCATTTTATCTCTTTTTAGTGCAGGTTGACTCATTTTATTTTAAATTTTCTGTTCCATTATCTGTTAGTTGGTTGATCTATTTATAGATATTGGCTAATTTCAATACATAAACTTCCTAGATTCATTCCTCCTGAAGTAATTGTCTTGTTTCAATTATTAAAATAAAAACCATTCTTATCCAATATTAAGCTCGCATCAGCCCTACATGCTCCACAATATCTTGGGCTCAGTAACAAAAACTTTAGTCCTGGGGAAGAGGGATATCCTATTCGGCCCCAACCATGTTTGGGTGAAAGAAGGACACCTCCCCATTAAAAAATTATCTGCCCTGGTGGTTCATGCTTAAGTCACCCTAGTGAGAAATTGGAATGGTTGGAATGGGAAGTGTCAGCTTGTGTTATGTATCTGGGCCTTTGGTCAAATTTAAACAGTTTCCCATTTAAATTACATGTCCCCACAAGAGAAAAGACTAACCACAACTGGACAGTTCTCCAACCATGAAATAGACTTCACTGAGGAATGCAGAATCACTGTATTCATCCTATCTTATCCACACACCTATTCAAGGCTTACAAAGCTTTGCTCAGAAGGTATCATAGCAACATGGAGGTCACAATAGCCCGAGCAACACCTGTCTGGAGAGATTGTTAGCCTTAATCTTTCCCCAATATAAGACAAGCTCACTGAGGGTCACTGCTCTGTGCAGGAACCAGAACCATCAACAAGGGATGGGTGAGCTACCACCAGCTATAGTTTTAGACAATGGCTCAGGCCTGCTCAAGGCTGGTGTTGCTGGAGATAAGGAACCACGTGTCATCTTTACCAACTTGATAGGCCGTGCCAAGGCCAAGTCTGTAATGCTCGGTGCTGGCCAGAAGGATTTCTACATTGGAGATGAAGCACAAGCCAAGAGAGGGATCCTCTCCCTAAGGTGCTTTAGAAAACACTGGGGAATGTAAACCATAGGGGATAAATAAGAGTTAACTGGTCAGAAAATCATCTTAAAACTGTTTACTTAGGGGAGGGAGTAACTTCAGAAAAAGGAATCCTAAGAATTAAAGGTTGAAATGATGATGTAAGAGAAGATGAATTTACATGAACATAATTTTAGGCCGAGTCAATGACATCTATAGTACTACAATGGAAAAGGGCTATTCTGAACAATAGAACGTCAATTTGATGGACTAATGCATTCTGTGATGATTGACAGTGAGTTCTGCCTTGGATCCATGTAATTGGATATTAACTCCATAATTGGCAGCAATTGGCAGTCTTTCAGATTAGTCATGCTGGCTGGACCTACTGCTGCTTGGAGTTCAGTGTCTAGAAAGGTATACGTTGTCCATTCAGGTGCTATTAAAAAGAACTAGATGTACCTTTGCTGGTTTTTGGAGGGCAATGAAGGCTATCAGAGATTCTTCTTTACCCACAAGAATAAAACCCTGATTTTCTACTATACTACACCATAACAGGGTCACAACTTCTCAAT